TTTTGGGTGATGTCTTTTCCCGGTTTTGGTATTAAGGTTATGCTTGCTTCATAAACAAAGGACCTCTTTTAAGTGCTGAAGAGCAAAAATGTTTCTTTGAAGACTAAGGTAATCTTGCAAACCGCAAACTGTGGTATTTCCAATCGCATCAAGTGCATGTGAGAGCTGGACAATGAAAAAGAAGACCAAAGAAGAGTTGATGCTTTTGAGTTGTGGTGCTGGTGAAATATGCTGAAAGTATCATGGATTGCTAATAGAATTAACAAATCTGTCCTGGAAGCCTGGAAGCAGTGTAGCCAGAATGCTCCTTGGAAGTGAGAATGGCCAGGCTTCGTCTCACCTACTTTGGTCATGTTATCAGAAGGGACCATTCCCTGGAGAAGGATGTCATGCTCGGTAAGGTGGAGGGACAATAAAAAAGGGGAAGACCCTCAACGAGATGGACTGACACAGTGGCTGCAATGGTTGGTTCAGATATAGCAAAGATCATGGGGCTGTCACGGGACTGGGCAGTGTTTTGTTGTGCTGTACACGAGGTCGCTCTGAGTTGGAGATGACTCAATGGCACCTAACAATAATGTGTATAATAATCTCTCTCGTTTGTTCATGATGATGACTGTGTATTAATCTCTGTCTCAACATTGACTGCAATTTCCCACAATGCAACAGCCCCCTCCCACTTCCTCCCCATAGTTACCTCTTCCCTGTGCCCTTCCCTGCATACACTCCTGCCCCCTGAGCTGTCTCCCTGTGCATACACAGCCCTTCTATTCTCCCGTGATTGATCTCTCCAAGGAGTGTATCTACCTAGTGTAAATGTTCAGCTCATATGCTGCTTTTCTTTTGTTTGGCTGGAAGCCACAGGAGTGGGTTCACTTTCCCACTTGAAGGGCAGCTAGGGCCTGTAGTCTCAGTGGCTCCATCAGGCTCTATCAGACCAGCAAACCTGGTTCCCCCCACTTTTTTTTTTTTTTTTAATGATTTTGAGTTATGTTCCATATTGTTCTAAACATGAGTTTCTTAAGAAAAACTGAGGCAGCAACTTGTCCCGGGAGGTGTAAAACACGACCCACACTGTCCCCCTTACTGTGGAATATGAATGCTCCTACCATCTTAGTCTTTACAGGCAGGATACTGAGTCATAATGAAGCATTACCAGGAGATTGATCATCTCCCCCAACCCAGGTATAAACAGAAGAGCAAGTTCCGAGCGGTGCACAGGCTGTCCATGGCGGATGGGGCAGAGATCACCGGCTTCTCAGCAGTAAATGATTTTTACTCCTGTATCCTTTCATGGTCCAGCATTAACTGTAACAGGACTGGGGCTCTTCGTCCCCGCCTAAGAGCACCGAGCAAAGCCCCTTAACGAAGCGTCACAGACATCGTGCTTGCCGCCGGCCGGAACAGAGCCGTAGAGGTTTTTGATCTCAATGCTGGCCGCACTGTGGCCACGATCCCAGAAGCCCATTCGCGACTTGTCCACCAGATTTGTCAAAACAAAGTGCGTCAAGCTTTGGGCAATGGACATTGTTTGTAAAATTATATGTTTAAATCAGTGTTTAAGAGTTACAGGTGTATGAAGCAATCACAAAACCAAACAAACAAAAAAAACCCAAAAACCGAATCTGCTGCCATTGAGCAGATCCTGACCCACAGCGCCCCTAGAGGACAGAGTGGAACTGCCCACAGGGTCTCCAAGGCTGTCAATCTTTACAGAAGCAAAGCCCAGACCACACCCACTGACGTGGAGTCCATTCTGACCCACAGCGCCCCTAGAGGACAGAGTGGAACTGCCCACAGGGTCTCCAAGGCTGTCATCTTCATGGAAGCCCACTGCCTCATCATTCTCCCATGGTTCGGCTGGTGGTTTGAACTTCTGACCTTTTGGTTAGCAGCCAAATGCCTACACCACCAGAGCTCCTTACTGGCCACCAAATGCAGTGCTTATTTTTTAGTGATCATTAAATTATTCAAAGCCTTGATATTTGACCTTAGAAGATATTTTAATATCATGTGGGATGTTAATTTTTGTACTTTTGCATTTGATGATTCTATGGCTCAGTACTTTAATTACTAGTAATATATCCTCATGTAAAATTTGATGGGATTTGTTTTGAGTATTTTGAAGCAGAATGGTAAGTAGATTGAATGACAGTCCAGGAGACTGTGTTGCAACATGAAGCAGCCTTGGAGAATTCATAGCTCCCCTTTTAGGTGGAGGGCACTGGGCCCAGGGGCACTGTTTGAAGATGGATGAAGGGGTGAGCATCCTGCCCATCACTCTTCATCACTACATGGTGATGAGCTCCAGAGTCCCCAAAGAGCATGTAAGACATGCAGGCAAACTGTTTCATTTTAGAACTGAAACTTGTTTTGATTTCTGATCTCTTGGGAGTGGTTTCCATGTTAGAAGTCTTAGAATGCTTTGTGAAACGTGTATTATGACTCAAAGGTGTTTTACTGAGTGACTTCTTCCTGTGTGGGTTAGAAAGACTTTGTTCTCTGTTGCTGTGGTCTGTTGTTCCAGGCTGAATTTAAGCTTAGGTTCCCTGGGACATCTGTGGTGAGTGAGCTGTCAAGTCCGGTGGTTGGCATGGACAAGAAAAGAAACACAAATCCTGGATGTGGGGTTAAGTGATGTCAAAGCAGATCATGTCCTGATGTCCCTTCTGGATACGTGGGAGCTAGAGGTGTTGGCATCAGAGGAGGAAGTTTCCCAGGGTGTACTGGGAAAGGGTCATCTGACTTCACATTTAGCCATGGAGGTAGTCTGCAGAACTGTCTTCTGAAGGGCTTCACAGAGGTGCAGAGGCTGGGTGCCCAGGGATGGGGTGGATGGGTCCATGGTCACAATCAGGGGCCTGGTGATGTGACAGATGGGCCCAAGGTCACAGCCAGACATCTGATGATGGGGCAGATGGGCCCAAGGTCACAGTCAGGGGCTGGTGATGGGGTGGATGGACCCAAGGTCATGGTCAGGGGCCTGGCGAGGAGCTGGGTGGGCCCAAGATCATGGACAGGGGCCTGATAATGAGATAGGTGGGCCCAAGGTCACAGTCAAGCACCTGGTGATGGGGTGGATGGGCCCAGGGTTAGTCATCCGCCTGTGATGTGGTGGATGGGCCCAAGGTCATGGTCAGAGGCCTGGTGATGGGGCAGGTAGGCCTCAGTTCATGCTCAGAAGTCTGGTGATGAGGCCTAAGGTGATGGTTAGGGGCCTGGGGATGAGACAGGTGGGTCCAAGGTCATGATCAGGGACTTGGTGATGGGGCAGATGGGCCCAGGGTCAGTATCGACACCTGGTGATGGGGAGGAAAGGCCTAGGGTCAGTGTCAGGGCCTGGCAGTGGGGTCAGTGGGTGCAGGGTCACAGTCACTTCTTGGCAGTGGGGTGACGGGCTTGGGGTGAGCCTCAGGGCTCAATGTTGCACCCTCAAAAGTTGATTAGTTCGGATGTATCAAATAGTGATGGCAGAAGGTTTCCAGTTTGTAGGACACTATGGACAATACCAGCTTGGACAGTGGTTGAAGAAATACCGTGTGTGTGTTTCCCTTTGCTTGTACTGCTTCTTCGTGCATGGAGACTGAGTAGGAATATTCACACACACTGTGGTAGGTGCCTGGGTGCAGGCAGCGGTGTCGGGGTTCTGGAGCTTTATGGTGCTATTAAAGGGGAGGGTTCATCACATGAGCCTGTGCCCCCCGCCCCGAGCTGTAGGTGTTAAGTCTGCCAGGGAGAGCTGGGAGGCCTGGGAGACAGCTTTGTGATAGCACACAAGGATAGGACCCTGTTCTGGGAGTCAGTAGCCACATATTTTGCCATAATTCACAGTAAGATCTGCCAGATTGCATGGGGTCGAACTGATGAACAGGCTGTTTCCTGGGCTTTTAGATCAATTAGTGAAGTGAGACCGTAAGTATGTAAACTTGTCTAACCCGAATACCTCTCTTACCTTTTAGGTTTTGTGATTTCCTCTGTATACCACCACCACTCATGGGTACCACTCACTAGCATCTCCTTGTGTTGTTGGTGTCAGTCGATTTCCGCTCATGATGACCCCACGTGTGCAGAGTGGAACTGTTGCGTAGGGTTCTCAGGACTGGAATTCGGCAGGATCACCAGCCCTGTCTGAGGGCCTTCTCCTTGTTCACTGACCCTCCACTTTACCAAGCATGATATCCTTCTCCAGAGAATGATCCCTTCTGACAACCTCACTAAAGTAGTCAGACTTTGTCTGACCATTCTAGCTTCCAAGGAGCATTCTGGCTGCATTTCTTCCAGGACAGATTTGTTAGTTCTTTTGGCAGTCTGTGGTACTCTTAGCATTCTTCTCCAACACCACAACTCAAAAGCATCAACTCTTCTTCAGTCTTCCTTATTCGTTGTTTAGCTCTCACATGCATATAAGGCAATTGAAAATACTGTGGCTTGGATTAGGTGCACCTTTGTCTTTAAGGAGGCATCTTTGCTCTTCATCATTTGAAAGAGGTCTTTTGCAGCAGATTTGTCCAGTGCGATACATTGTCTGATTTCTTGACTGCTGCCTCCATTGGTGCTGATTGTGGATCCAAGTAATAGGAAGTCTTTGACACCTTCCATCTTTTCTCCATTTATCATGATGTTGCTTGTTGTCCAGTTGTGAGGATTTTTGTTTTCTTTATGTGGAGGTGTAAGCCATACTATAGACTGTACTCTTCAGTCTTCATCAGTAAGTGCTTCAAGTTATCTTCACTTTCAGCAAGCAAAGTTGTGTCATCTGCACAATGAGTCTTCCTCCAATCCTGATGCCATATTCTTCTTCATATAATCCAGCTTCTCGGATTATTTGCTCAGCATACAGGTTGAATAAATATGGTGAAAGGATACAACCCTGACACACTCTCTTTTTTATTTTAAAACATGCAGTGTCTCCTTGTTCTATTTGAATGATAGCCTCATGGTCTATGTACAGATTCTTCATGAGTACAATTAAGTGTTCTGGAATTCCCATTCTTCAATGTTATCCACAATTTTTTTATGATCCACACAATCAAATGCCTTTGTGTAGTCAATAAAACACAAGTAAACATCTTTCTGGTATTCTTTGCTTCCAGCCAAGATCCATCTGACATCAGCAATGATATCCCTTGTTCCACATCCTCTTCTGAATCCAGCTTGCATTCCTGAAGTTCTCTGTCAATATGCTGCTGTAACTGTTTTTGAATTATCTTCCATATGATTTCGTGTGTGGTATTAATGATTCTATTTGATAATTTGCACATTCTGTGGGATTACCTTTCTTTGGCAAAGAATACCAGAAAGATGCTGGCTTATGTTTTATTGACTATGCAAAAGCATTCGATTGTGTGGATCATAACAAATTATGAGTAACATTGAGAAGAATGGGAATTCCAGAACACTTAATTGTAGTCATGAGGAACGTGTACTTAGACCAGGAGGCTGTCGTTCAAACAGAACAGGGAGACACTGCATGGTTTAAAATCCAGAATGGAGTACATCAGGGTTGTATCTTTTCACCATACTTATTCAATCTGTATGCTGAGCAAATAATCCGAGAAGCTGGACTGTATGAAGAAGAACATGGCATCAGGATTGGAGGAAGAATCATTAACAACATGTGATATGCTGATGACACAACTTTGCTTGCTGAAAGTGAGGATGACTTGAAGCATTTACTGATGAAGATTAAAGAATACTGTCTGCAGTATGGACTACATCTCAATATAAAGAAAACAAAAATCCTCACAACTGTACCTATAAGCAACATCACGATAAATGGAGAAAAGACTGAAGTTGTCAAAGGCTTCCCATTGCTTGGTTCTGTGATCAGTGCCAATGGAAGCAGCAGTCAGGACATCAGATGACAGATAGCACTGGGCAAGTCGGCTGCGAAGGACCTGTTTCAAGTGCTGAGGAGCAAGGATGTCTCCTTGAGGACTAAGGTGCGCCTGACACAAGCCATGGTTTTCAGTTGCCTCATATGCATGTGCGAGCTGGACAATGAATAAGGAAAACTGACAAAAAGTTGATGCTTTTGAGTTGTGGTGCTGGCGAAGAATGCTGAAAGTGCCATGGACTGCTAAAAGAACTAACAAAGCTGCCTGGAGGAAGTGCAGCCGGAATGCTCCTTGGAAGCGAGAATGACCAGACTTCGTCTCACCTACTTTGGTCATGTTGTCAGAAAGGACCATTCCCTGGAGAAGGATGTCATGCTTGGTAAGTTGGTAAGGTGGAGGGTCAACAAAGGAAGGGAAGACCCTCAACAAGATGGATTGACACAGTGGCTGTGGTGATGGGCTCAAGTATAGCAAAGAATCATGGAGCTGGTGCAGGACCGGGCAGTGTTTCATTCTGCTGTGCACAGGGTCACTGTGAGTCGGAAATGGCTTGACAGCATCTGTCAACAACACCTTTCTTTGGAATGGGTACAAATACGGATATCTTCCAGTCAGTTGGCTAGTGAGCTGTCTACCAAATTTCGTGGCATAGACAAGTGAGTGC